GAAGTTAAGAGGGAGAAAAGAGCTAGATATATATACAGATGGGTCATTAGTGACAGAGCATGAAGGAGATAGAGAAGGGAAAAGGATGGGTATAGGTTGGGTTATAGCAGACGAGGATAGCATTACAAATAGCATTAGTTTTAATAGTAGAATAGCTGACTGGCCCTCCTCAACTCGAGCAGAACTAGGTGCGATCTGGACAGCCCTGCTAGTAGTTCCTGCTAGTGCGAAAGTGAGATTATACTCTGACAGCAGCGCAGCGATAGAAGGAATACAAGGGTTCCGAAATCGAATGAGTATAAGAAGCATGTTTAAAACCAAGAGCCGCAGTCTAATTAATCAGATAACAGATTGTTGTAGAACTAAAAATATTGAGCTAGAGCTAATTAAAGTCAAGGGCCATAGTATGAACTACTGGAATGATAAAGCTGATATGTTAGCAAAAGAAGGTCTCTCATCTAGCCTAATACTAGAAGTACAAGACACCACAACGGGCAGTATAAGAGTAGCACCAACTTGGAACAACAAGCTGATTGATAGCCCACTGAGATCTTTCGTTAATATAATTACAACAACATCATACGAATGTGAATGGGCAGACCTAAAAAACATTAAACCAATGCTGGGTCTAAGATCAAGTGAGCAAAGCAAGGAAGAGCTAAACTGGAGAAACACATGGAGCGTGCTAAAGAAGCTTCAGGGAAAAAGATGTACAAGCATCAAAAAAAGTAAAGCTCTGATTTTCAGAATAAAGTGCCTTAACAAGTTATTACCAACTAAAGACCTATGCTTCCAAAGAAACCCAAATCTATATAAGAGCAAAACTTGTATAGCATGCCTTGCAAAAGAAGAATCGTTAGAACACATTGCAGAATGCCAACTATATCAAGGAATTTGGAGAAAGATCGAAAGGTTGATCATAGTAGAGCTGTGTATAAAAATCGATGATAGATGGGACATAGATGTCTCAGAACAAACTCTAAAAGCAACGTTCTTGGGACGGAATGCAGCTGAGACACTTAGCAGGAGAAAGCTACATATCCGAGGTCTAACAAGCAACCAGCTCACAACAAGCGTCAAAGAAATATTGGGATCTGCCTCCAAGACCAACAAGGCAATAAGTTGGTTCTCTGAACTATTCTGGTCTATTTTCTTCGAAAAATTATGGAAATTGCGATGCAAAATTATGCTAGAATGGGAAGAGAGAAATAATATCAAGTTCAAAGAAAAACGGAAAAAAGTAAAGCGAAAACGTAATAAACTCGGAAAAGAAAACACATCAAATAAAGAAAACCAGATTTTAAGCAGAAACAACCATGAAGAATCAAGTAAAGGCAAGGAGGAGAGAATTCAAAACCTAGCTGAAGATAAAGTGAAGACATGGATTGAAAAAGGCTTAAAAGAAAGCTGGTTAAGTTTTAAAAATAACTAAGGGTTCTTGAATAGGCGCAGAGGAGCCTTCTATAGATCACTAGAGCATGAATTTGCTTAGGCAAACTGCTATAGTAGGAGGAAAATCACTTTTGCAGCTGATCGCACTTGGGCACCTAGAGCAGCCGAGTGAGTCTGGAATTGGAAAAAGAGGGCAGTTATATAGCTAATATAGATTAGTTTTATTTTTGTTATAACATCATGTATGTTTTCTCTTAATAAATGAAGGGCAAGATCGCCTAAGTTAAAAAAAAAAAAAAATATATTATATGTATATATATATACTGATACATATATAAAAATAATAAATAAAGTAAAATTATATAATAAATAAAATAATACTTTATCATAAACTAGTTTTAGTCTTATAATCGAAGACATAGTTTCAAAAATAGAAGCCTATCTTGTTTCTATATAAGTATTTAAAACACTACTATTTAATTTCATACTTATTATACTATCATAAAAAAGTCAATATACTCTATGTAACTTTTTAAAATATTAAACAATTTGATTAGTCTGTTTTAAAATCTAGTTAACAGATTTAATTTTAACAATATCACTTGCTATAAGATTTAATGCATAAGCAATACATCTAATATTCTAAATATAAGAGTAATTTTGTGTTATAATTTCATAAATAATATGAATATTATCTCTATTATCTGTTATATATATTACAAATTTATTTGAACTGATATTATTAACAACATTAGAAATTTTAGATACAAGAAATTCACCTATTTGCATTATATCAAATAAATCTAAAATACAATACAAATATTCTTTATAATCTGAAATAGAAACAATAAAATTATATAACAAATCATTTGTTAGACTTAATAATCTATTCAATGCTAATAAAAATATATTAAGAATACCATAATAAATAAATAAATAAAAAAAAGTAAATAATTTATATATTTATCTAAAGTTATATGCTATGCTTTGTAAAGCAAATTATTTATCCAAATTGTTATACAAACTACTTTTTTATCAAATACTTATTTAGCTAATATAACTCTACTATAAAAAGTATAACCTAGTTTGATTATACTAAAAAAGTTATGAATAAATTGATTATTAATAGTCCAGTGATCTTAGTGTAGTAGTTAGGTTGTCAGACTACTATATAAGAGGTCAGGAGTTCAAATCCTACTATTGATGAATTTGAATAATTATCTAGATCTTTGTATCTAACTTACAGTAAACCCTGTTCATTTCTAGGGGTTGTAACCTTGTAAATCATATTGCATCAATATCAATTAGATATTAGAAGTACGACACAATGTTCAAGTTATATTATATGAATAAATCTTGATAGGATCTATGAGCAGGGGACCTGCATAGTAGAAATCTCAAATTAGATAAAGTAGTACAGATTTCAATAGTTATACTAGTTAATGCTTGATCTAAAAAAGAAGTCTGTATATGAAGGTTACAGATTGAGCAGGTACGAATAAGTTTATTGTATAACACAACCTAGTGCCTTGTATTAGCAGCAATACTAACTTGACTTGATAGCTAACTAGATTTGAGAGGATCTGACTTGTGAAACTTCTGAATATATGGAGGACTAATTTGGTAGAGAGCTACAGTAAGAACTAGATTTGTACAAACATCTATAAGAATATATGCTAGCTTAATTAGGAAATAATATAGCATAGTTAGAGTATTCTGCAAGCCTCTTCTGATAAGGATTAAAGGGTACCTTGAAATAAGACCCTCCTAATAAAAGAAACTGAAGCACAAGGTTAGTCTGAGTAGTCCTCATTGAGACAGCACAAGATTGTGCAGATTTAAGAATAAAATTAAGTTAGCATTAGAGATGATGAGAATACTAGAGGATTTAAATAGAGTATCTACAAATGGATACTAGGTATGGCAATTGGTAGATAACCTCCGAGCAGAACTTTTAAATAGACAATGATTAAAGTTGTATATATGACCAATTATACTCTCACTAACTAATGTAAACCTACAACCTACTTAATAAAAATTAACTAGCATTAAAGCTTTGTTAAACCAATAAAAAAAATAAAAATAAAAATAAAAAATTGATTGTTAATTACAGAAAATACAATTTCTGCATAAACAAAAGCTTTAAGTAAAGCTTTATTAATTTCATTATTTCTTTCATTTGATATAGGTTTAAAATGAGATGATAAAATTTTAGATGAATATAGTGTTGTATTTTTATTATTACTATTATTATCATTATTTTATTTTGTGATTTTAATTAAATAATAACACCTTATATTTTCAGAAACTTTACTTTTACAATATAAAGCTAAATAGGTTTTTATAACTGCAGGTTTTCCACGTTACTATTTTCTTTTAATACAATATTTACAATTTGCATTATAATAAATAGCCTTTACATCAGATTTTCTAATTTCAAAATTATTTCAAATAGCTATTTTTGGTCATTTACTTTTATTTATAATGATCTTTTGAAGATCTAATTTATTTGTTATTCATTTATATATAATTTCACTAAATTGAGATGTTTGTGATATTTTAAAAAACTTTCAAATAAATCATTTTCTATAATAAAATTTTTATATAATTATAACATATTACATGATAAATAAATTTTTATTAATTATAAAAACATTGAAGATAAATTTATTTAATATAGGAATATTAAAGATAAATAAATTTTTTTTTTTTTTTTGTTGTTAAGGTGGCTTACATTGCTGAAGAAATTTTTATTAGAATTGTCAATAGGATTATACATTGATAATTCCTACTGTTTGTAATTACATAAAGAGCATACAACAAGCCACATATACAACTTTAGTCATTGTCTATTTTAAGTAGTCTACTGCACAGGTGTTAGACCACCTAATTAGTTCTACACTATATTACCATATCTGTAACCCACCTGTGAGTTATCTATTTAAATACTCTGTTCATTAACCTATACAGATCCAATCTAACATCACTGTAATATCTAACTACATAAGCTAGCTAGCTTGTTACAGATCCATTTATCCAAATAGTTTAGGTCCTCTTGGGATATATTGTATCAGATGTATTGCTAGTACCGTAGAGCCAGTTAATCTCAAAGCAAATCTACTAGAACGGTCTGTACCTATTTTATATATTCACCTAGCTTAGACCCTTGTAGATATTTGTACAATTCCAGATTCCACTGTAGTCCTCCACTAGTCAGTTGACCTAGTCCTTTTCTAGTATCTAGCTGGTCCCAGTTACCCTTCACCCAGAGACCTCAAAACCTTCTACTTTTATTAGACTGAGTTTTCTCCTTGGATCAGACTTTAACCAATGTAGTCCTGTCAGAAGGCTATACTATTTCACTAACTCAGGATTTCTACCATGCAGGTCTCCTGCTCATATATCCTATCAAGATTTATTTGTATAATATTATACTACACTTCCAAGTTCTAATTAATTTAGTACAATTCAATTTATAGGGGTATGCCCCCAGAAATGAATAGGGTTTACTGTAACATATTACAAGGTCTAAGAAATTATTCAAATTCGTCGATAGTAGAATTTGAACCCCAAACCTATTACATGATAGTCTGACAATCTAATTACTATACTAGGTTGCCAGACCTTCTAAAGATAAATAGATTTTATACAGTTAAATAACTAAAACTTAATAAAGAATTTAAAGTAACAAGTAATAATCTTTTAAAAAAATCTAATAATTGAAAATTATTTAATTAGTTTCTTTAGTATAAATATTTGTTAGTTTCTACAACAATGTACATATAAAATACTTACTAGTTATAAGTTAAAAATGTTAGACAGCTAGGTCTGGTAATCTTAGTATAATAGTTAGATTACCAGACTGCTATGCAAGAGGTCTGAGATTCAAATCATACTATCAACAAATTTGAATAATTACTCAGACCTTTGTATCTAACTTATAGAAAACTCTGCTTGTTTCTGAAGATTACAACTCTATAAATCATATTGCACTAATATTAATCAGACATTAGAAATATAATACAATATTTAAGTTATATTACATGAATAAATCTTGATAGAATTTATGAGCAGGGGATCTGTATAGTAGAAATCTTGCATTTAGTGAAGTAGTACAGATTTTAATAGTCAAGCTAGTTAATATTTGATCTAGTAAAAAACCTAAGTACAAAAAATATAGATCAAGTAGATGCAAGTAAGACCATTGTGAATCTGCAGCCTGATGCTAATTACAAATGACAATACCAATTTGGTTTAGCAGCTAATTAAATTAGGAGGATCTACCTTGTGAAATATCTAAAATCTTGAAGGACTAATCTAATAGAGAACTATAGCAGAAACTGAGATTTATATGAATATTGATAAGGATAACTATAAGTTTTCTAATTGAGTAAGTACTGTAATATAAAGAGTAGACTTAAATTCAGAGTATACTTGTAAAAACTCGAAATGGTATGATATATTAAGCTAGTAGTAGTAATATAAAAAACAAAGATACACTAGTCTTTTAAAATACTAATTATATGATAGTAGTATATCTGTATTATGAAATCTATAGCTATAAGCAACTCATATTATGAACATTTTCACAAAAAACTTTCTCCATTGATCACTCTGACCAATTTTGGAGTAGAAAGAAAAATCAAGTTAACTCAAAGTTATCACTAAGAATAAGTATAAGGTTTGGTGATCTTAGTGTAGTGGTTAAGTTGTCAGACTGCTATGTAAGAGGTCTGGGGTTCAAATCCTACTATCAACGAATTTGAATAATTACCTAGACCTTTGTATTCAACTTACAGTAAACTCTGTTCGTTTCTGGAGTTTGTACTCTGTAAATCATGTTGCACTAATATTAATCAGATATTGGAAGTATGATGCAATGTTCGAGTTATGTTGTATGAATAAATTTTGATAGGATCTACGAGCAGGGGACCTGCATGATAGAAACCCTAAATTAGGTAAAGTAATACAGATTTTATAGTCATACTAGTTAACGTTTGATCCAGAAAAGAAGTCTATGTATGAAAGTCACAGATTGAGCAGGTACAAGTAAGTTCACTGTGTAATGCAGCTTAGTGCCTTGCATTAGTAGCAATACTAATCTGGCTTGGCAGCTAACTAGATTTGGAAAGATCTGACTTGTGAAACTTCTGAATATATAGAGAACTAATTTGGTAGAGAGCTACAGTAGGAACTAGATTTGTATGAATACCTATAAGGGTATATGCTAGCTTAATTAGAATATAGCATAGCATGGTTGAGGTATTCCACAAGCCTTTCTTGATGAGAATAAAAGAGTACCTTGAAATAGAGCCCTTCTAATAAAGGAAACTAAGGCACAAGGTTAGTCTGGGTGGTCCTCATTGAGGTAGCATGAGATTGTACAGGTTTAAGAATAAAATTGGGTAAACATTAGAGATGACGAGGATGCCAGAGAGTTTAAATAGAATATCTACAAATAGATAATAGATATAGCAATTAGTAAGTAACTTCTGAGCGGAACCTTTAAATAGATAATGATTAAAGTTGTATGTATGACCAATTGTACTCTTACTAACTAATGTAAACCTACAAACCACTTAATAAAAATTAACTGGCATTGAGACCTTGTTGGACCAATAAAAAAAAAAAAAAAAAAAAGAACAAGTATAAGATCCCTTAAGTAAAAAGAAAGAAAAGAAAGAAATACATATACTGAAGTAAAAAGAATTGAAAAAAACTAAATAAAATTAAGTATTATAGAAAAAGTTTAGGCTTTGAACAAAATATAAAAATTTTAGAAAATTTTT